AGTAGGGACCCCAGGATGACTGGGAAGTTAGAATTATCAGTGAAGGACTTTAAATCAATGGTGAAGACCAAACATTGAAAGGTACACATGGTTTGGAGAGGTGAGCAGATGGGAACCGTAAGTGGTGAGCCGGAAGCCACATGCGGGAGACCAGGGCGTCCTGGAGCGGCGCAGCCCCGCGTCTGCAGCCCGTCAGCGCAAGCTCACCGTCAGCGCCGGAGGGGGCTGGGACCAAGTCCAGCAAACTGGACTACTAGCTACTGAAGGTGTCTGAGCCTTGGAACAAGAAGGCACAGTCATTTAAAAGGGGATATGTGAAATAGTATCAATTTAACAAAGGTACAAACAGAATCTCTGAACAGGAGGAGAGAGAGAATTTCTCACAAAGAAAAGTCTTTGTAGAGTTACTTGGCCCAAATCTCCCAAATTAGGGGAAAAGCAATTTAAAAATGCAGCAAATTTAATCCAATAATTCCAAGAAAGACAAACATAAATAAAGCAAAAAAATGCTAAAAATAAAGGTTAGGGACAATATTAAAAGTAGACAGAGGCGAAAAGACGCGTTTCTACCAGGACAGCAACGGCACAGTCACTGCTAACTTCCCTCCTAGAGCGCGGTGTCTGGGTGGGGTCAGAAGGTCATCTTCACCGAGCGCCTGGACATACGCCAATGCACAAGGACCTGCCAAGGTGAAATCCTGCAACAACAAGGCCAAATCAAACTATTTGCAAGTAAATGAAGCCACCATATTCTTTGACAACTGAGCTGGACCCCAGATTAACTGACAGAAGTTATTCAGGCCAAAGTAACCTGGCTCCCTTGTATAATCTGAATCGAATCCCCAGGAAACACCACTGAATCGAACTTGAGGGACTGTCTGCCCGGTGACAGCAGCGTTCGTAGATGTGAACCCCGTAAACATGGGCAGGAGGAACTGCTCAGGCTTGAAAGAGCACACAGATAAGCGTGCTCCTGGATGCAAGGATTGGAAAGGACATTATGGGGAAAGGCAGCACAATCGAGAAAGGGCTGCGGGGTGTCCAGTGACAGTGCACCAGATCCTGTCTGGGT